GTTTATTATGAAACTAAACATGAGCTTAACATACGACCCAGCAATTACACTCTTGGGCATTTATCCGAGAGATATAAAAACTTATGTTCACAGAAAACACATACACAGATGTTCAGAGTGGCTTTATTTGTAATAGCTTAAAACTGGAAACAACCCTGCAATATTGTGATTTCTAATAAGAAATATATACTATTTGGTCTCATTTTTGACACAAAGCTACTAAAACCCTTGCAATCTCAGAAATGTTAACTGTCTTTTGCACGCTAATGAGGTGACTGGTGGCTGGGGTCTCCTGGAAGGCCTCAGGATGGAAGCTGGTTGCCATCATGTCACAATCAGGTGATTAGAGGGTAGAAACTTTCAGCCCTTCTCCCCTATAACCCTCAGGGAGAGGAGAGGGTCTGAAAGTTGAGTTGATCACCAGTGACCAATGATTTAAATCAATCATGCTTACATGATGAAGCCTCCATAAAACGCCTAAAAACAAGGTTCAGAGAGGTTCTGGGTTGCTGAGCTCATGGAGGTTGTTGTACCCCAAGAGGGCATGGCAACTCTGTACCACCCCCACCCCTTATGGCTCGTACCTTACCTTATGCTTATCTTCTAACTGTTCAGCTATATCCTTTGTAATATGTTTTATAATAAACCAGTAAAGATAAGTAAAACGCATTTATGGATTGTGTAAACTGCTTTCGCAAATGATTGAACCTGAGGAGGGGATTGTGGGAATCCCCAATTTATAACAGCCAGAACTTGGATTGGCATCTGAAGTGGGAAGCAGTCTTGTGGGACTGAGACCTAAACCTGTAGGTTCTGACTCTACATCCAGGTGGATAGTATCAGAGTTGAACTGTGGGACACCCAACTAGCCTCAGAAAATTAGTTGTCAGGAGAAACTCCTCACCCACATTTGGTCACAGAAGTCTTCTGTGTTGAGAGAGTAGGAAAAACATTTTGATTCTTTCAATCTCATAGAAACCCGATGCCCTTCAGTGGGTAAGTGGTAAACAGATTGGTACATCTATTACTGTTTGTTTGGTTCTTAGTCTTATTTGGAGAAAGAATTCTGCCAAGCTACTGATTTAGCCAGAAAAAGAGAATTCATTGAAGGAAAATACAGAGCAGGGAGTTATCTAGAGAGACAGTACACTCTGAAAAGATGAGGCAGAGTGAGCTGCTGAAAGAGAGTGAGCCAGCAGTACCCCGAGAGTTCTGTGTTGGGTTTTTATGATTACAGATTTTTCCTTGAAGTTCCTGCCTCTTTCTTAGTCTCCACCTTTTTACTTTGTTTAGTTTTCTGCATCTGCCTTAAGTCCCTGCCTTTTCCCTTACCTAGTTCCTGCCCCAAGGTTGTGGGACCCTCCGTTACTATTGGTATGCACGAGTGAACCCGATGTTGAACACGAATTGCTTCTGCGTATCTCAGGAATTTTCTCCTTTGCCCTCTTCCCTTTAGCATGCATCTAGCTACATTCTGGCAGGTTAACTGGCAGAGTGAGCAGTCAGTACGGTCTTAAGGGGAATTCCTTTCTACCTAGGTATTTCCCCTCCTGTCTGTTCATATCTAGCACACCTATTTAGGGTGATCTCTGGGGTGTGAGATTTTCCAGACTCCTTTTCTCAGGGCCTCCCTTTTCCTCCTCATGTCTGGCTATCTGCCTACTGTACCGCATCTATACCATAGAATACTACTCATCAATAAGAAAGGAACAAATTATTGACACCGTGCAACAACTTGGATGGATCTTAAGGGAATTAGGCAGAGTGAAAAGAACCAATTTCAGATGGTTACATACTATACGATTCCGTTTTTATAGCATTCTTGAAATGACAAAGTTGTGGAGATGAGGACAGAGTTGTAGTTGCCAGGAATTGACGTAAAGGGAGAAGGCAACTATGGCTATCACAAGGTACCATGAAGAATGTTTGTGGTAGAGTTGTTTGTGTGTTGACTGGTGGTGTTCACACAAATCTATACTTGTGATAAAATTACATAGAACTAAATATATTTAATATGCATGAGTGCACATAAAAATGAAATCTCGAAAAGGGTCAGTGGACTGTATTAATGTCAATTTCCTGCAATATACTGTTGTTATACAAAATGTTATCATTGGGGAAAATTGAGTGAAAAATATATGGGATCTCTTTATTTGTTATAACTGCATGTGAATCTACAATTATCCCAGAATTATACATTTTTACAAAGGAACAGAGGCATTGATGCTGAGGGATAGACCATAGGCTTTTCGATCAGCACAATTGTGTTCAAATTCTGGCTTCCATTTACCACTTGTGGGATCTTGAGCCAGTTCTTTAACCTCCTTTGCCTTAGTTTCATCATTTTTCAAGTGGTTACAATAATATTATTTTCCCCCATTGAATTGTTTTGAGGGTTAATTATCAATATTATGTAAGCCACTCATCAGTTAAATTGGGATCATAAAAATATTTTATCTTTTCATTTAGTACTGAAAGGAATAGGCACTCTGCCTTCTCCACAGAAATTTTAATATCACAAGATAGTCTGTGTTTCATTAACTTAGGCTAGTGTCTTTATTTATTCTTTCATGGAGTTCAGTCTGTTGTTCTCTTACTACCTTCCTGAGTTGGACACTTAACTCATTAAGTATCTTTCTTCCTTCCTAATATATGTATTTGAAACTGTAGATTTTTCTTTTACAGTTGTTTTAGCTGAGTCACAAAATTTTGATATTGGCAACCCAATATTTTCATTGTCATTCAGCTATAATAGTAACTGATTTTTTTCTTTGATCCAAGAATTATTTGAAAATGAGTTTTTCTGTTTCCAAACATATGATAGGGGGATGTTTTTATATGTAGATTCTGACTTTGCATTATGGTCTTAATAATGTCAATTCTTTGAAATATGTGAAGCTTCTTTTGTGGCTTAGCATGTGATCAGTTTTTATAAATGTTTCTTAAATGTTCCTTAATCATTAAGTGTAGGATTTTATCTTCATTCAGTCCCTTGATTTTGTTTATCTAGTTGTTCAAATCTCTAATATCCTCACTAATCTTTACTCTGGTTTACCTATCAGTTGCTGTAGTGAAAATGTTCCTCTTTGACTATAGATACGTCATTTTCTCCTTATAATCTTGCAGATTTTTACTTTGTATATTTTTGGCTATATTGTTAGATACAGCAGATTCAGAATTGTTACTGTTTTCTTGATAAGTTGTTTATTTTATCAGTAAAGTTCTTTGTTTCTAACAATGCTTTTTGCCTTAAACGTATTCTGACCTGATAATAATATAGTCATTTAAGCTCTTTTTGTTAGCTAGTGTTTACACAGTATATGTGTCTAGGATTTAGAATTCTCAGGAAAAACATTTCTCAGTCTAGAGCCTAGGCTTTCTTTGGTAAGTTTCTTTGCTATCTGTGTCATAAGGCATATCTTTTCAAGTCCATCCATTTACTGAAAGACTAGCCATTACAGTTTCCTAATTTATACAAGGGTGCTCAATTCTGAACTGTTGTAACATACAGGCCTAAGATTTCATCTTCTTTTTCCATGAAGGCATCAAAACCCAAACCTCCATTTTGTTAAGACTGAATACCATCTTTTACTCCCTTCCCTCTTCCCAAAACCCATCGCAGGTGCACTCTCAGCTTGTTGCACTTACTATAATTTTTGGCTTTTAATTCTAGACTGTGGGGATTCCCCTTGCAGATTCTGCTATGCATTTTAAAGAATGTTCATTATAATTTCTTCAGCATTTCTAGGCATTTAAGATGTAGTACCAAAAGACTGTCTTTAGAACACTGAGATTTTTGTATTTTTCAACTTAAAATTTAAGCACATTTCTGAACATAATATTAATAGTATTCACATCTTATTGCCACTTACATAACACTTGTAAACAGAGTTATAGTAGTTATAAAACTGATTTGCACTTAATTTTTTTCAGTTGAAGTGTTTTAAACATGTTATGTTTCACAGTTATACATAAGCAACATACAGTGGTGATCTAGCTATCACAGGGCAAAGACTATGCATTAATATTACATTTTAAAAATAAAATTTAAGAAAGAAAAGGTTTCTAAATTACAACTAACTGTAACTACTATAGTAATATAACTAATATGGTAAATTGTAACTAATATAATAAAGTGTAACTACTATAATTATACTAATATAGTTCTATGAACTAGGCGTGTTATTTATGTAGATGCCTTGGTTTATGTTTTAAAACTGTGTTCTAGGCCGGACATGGTGGCTTACAGCTGTAATCCCAGAACTTTGGGAGGCCAAGGCAGGTGGATGACTTGAGGTCAGGAGTTCAAGACCAGCCTGGCCAACATGGCAAAACCCCGTCTCTACTAAAAATACAAAAATCAGCCAGGCGTGGTGGCAGGCACCTGTAATCCCAGCTACTTGGGAGGCTGAGGCAGGACAATCACATGAAACCGAGAGGTGGAGGTTGCAGTCAGCCAAGATCACGCCACTGTACTCCAGCCTGGGCACTGCACTCCAGCCTGAGACTCTGCCTAAAAAAAAAAAAAACTGTTATAGAATAATATTTATTTTCTTTGTATTAGTACTCTCATGCTTTTTGGTGTTTGAATATTATAAATGTACAAAATCCTTAAAATAACTGGAATCTAACAAAGGTTTTCTTTGAAATTTTTTAGAAGTCAGAGTCAATTTCTCCTCATGAACATTCCTGTAATTATATCAAAAGTAAACTCAGTCCCTAAAACGTTTGTTAAATAACAGGACTCTATAAGAAGCAGAATGTCATGGCTTTGCTGTTGATGTTTATTCCTCTGTGCCCAAAATGACAGATTCTAAAATGATGATCTCTGTCTGTTGATTAATCTCATGTGCCCAAGAAAAAAATCAAGTGTATTTAAACCAATAGCCTGGACTGTTTTGTCTGATAAAATAGACAATCTTATCAGACAAAAATTGTCTATAGGTACTGTTGATAAACATATTTTGTCTAACAAAATATAACTTTACATTTTCTTGTAGGTTACCTTCCGAACAAGAATCTATCACTGTAATATTAACAGCCAAGGCGTGATCTGTCTGGACATCTTAAAGGACAACTGGAGTCCGGCTTTAACTATTTCTAAAGTTCTCCTCTCCATCTGCTCACTTCTTACAGATTGCAACCCTGGTAAGAGACTTTAAATCTGGTATGAATTGGAGCTTCTCAAGATGTAAATGTCAGACCTTAGTAACTTGTTTACAACTACTACTACCACCACCACCACCACTGCTTCTACTACTATTATTATTTTTACATTTTCATAGTATGTAACTATATTCTTTTTAAGTTGGGTCTTCTCATTAGTGTTTTTAAGACCTATTATTTGCCAAAAAGGAAAAGGCACAGTGTGGTTAAAAAAAAAAAAAAAAAGAAAAATCATTTTAAATGGGAAAGTGCATTTAAAGAATGAATTAAGTTGTCCTGCCAAATAATAATAAAAATTCAAGTTGAATAGCTTAATCTTTAATTAGATGCCTACTAGAAGATGTTAATTTGAGAAATGTGGGCTATTAAAATCTGATAACAACCAGCAGCACCATGCAAACGTGACCTTTTTGGCGTCCTAATAACTGTGCATCCCGACAAGCTATTAGAACGGTCCTGAATGGTCTGTTCTAGGATATACCCCAAAAGTAAACAAGGAAATACATCTCCCAAGAAAACAAGAAATCTATAGCCAGGGCTTTATGGCTTGTCGGTGTGCGTAACACTGAAAATTCTTAATTCCTGGGCCATTTCTTTACACTTTGGGTTTATTTTAGAAAATACAAAACTCCAAAGATAGCCCTAGGGTTTTCATTGATGTTCTCTGTGGGAGAAATATTTTTTGAGTAATTAATAGCTTAAATATTGCATGAGATTCCCTCTTCTACAATCAAGAATAAACTCTGTTCACTAGATACATGAAATTTTACACAAATGGAAATGACGAGTGTCAGTGGGGTTGCTTAGGATCCTGGCTGTTTTATAAAACATCAAGAAATAACAGTCTTTCTGCTTTTGTATTTTTTTATTTTTCAGCAATAAAAACTTTTTTTTTAAGTGGCAAATTAGTTTTTTTTTTTTTTTTGAAATGGAGTCTCACTGTGTTGCCCAGGCGGTAGTGCAGTGGCACGATCTCAGCTCACCACAACCTTCGCCTCCTGGATTCAAGTGATTCTACTGTCTCAGCCCCCCAAGTAGCTGGGATTACAGCTGTGCACTGCCATGCCCAGCTAATTTTTGCACTTTTAGTAGAGACGGGGTTTCACTGTGTTGGCCAGGCAGGTCTCGAACTCCTGACCTTATGATCTGCCCACCTTGACCTCCCAAAGTGCTGGGATTACAGGCATGAGCCACCGCACCCAGCCTGCCCAAAAAATAAAATTGTGCCGGATCATTATAAAATATTTTTTTGAATTAATTCATACTTTACTACAGATAGTGAAGTCCAATAATGTTACACTAACTTAAAGTTGATTTTGTTCTTTCAGTCCTATTGTTCCCATTTTAATCCCATTTGTCTGTGACTGTGTATAACCTCATTTGGAGGTAATGTTGCAGGAAGGCTTTTTTTTTTTTTTTTTTTTTTGAGGTGATTACACTATATACTTTATGTATTAATCTTATTTATTGTAGTTTTTTTTTTTTTTTTTTTTTTTTTTTTTTGAGGTGATTTTGAAGCCTGGCCTGCTTTGCCTCCGAGTCAGCTGAAATGGAGTCTGTTACCCTGAATAAGCCTGTATATGACAGCCTGTTCTCTCTACCGATACTCCTGCTTAAAGGAATAGATTCATTCCACCAGAGCCTTCTCTCAGCAATCAGACAGACTTCTGTTCAGTGAACTAGTTTTTCTTTTTTTTCTTGCTGTGTTTCAGAAAACTACAAATGCATTCTGCAAAAACTTAAAAATCTCTCCTAACTAAAGCAGAATCACATAAGTAAAAGAAAGAAATTTTGAAAATAATGCTATTGATAGTAAGAACAAGCCTAAAAATAATGTTCCATAAAACCAGAGACAGCCTGCCTGATATGAGACTAGAAAGGAATTTGTAAAATACATGCTAACATTTAGTTTGTCACACTTTAACACATAAAATAAAGTTTCCTAATTGGTACCTCGTTTTTATCAATGTTGACACTTCTAGAATCTTAAATAGAGTTGTTTATTTTAAAGTAGTCAAATGTCCATTCTTTTGTTTAATGGACTTATTTCACACTGTTATCTGGTACACTTTCAATCTCTATAGGTTTTTTACCTACAGAGATAGGTAAGATTAGGTTAGATTGAAGTTTATCTTAAATCTGTCTTCAAATTATCACAAAAACAAGTTCGATAGACTATGAATAAATAAGATTTTCCTACACTGAATTTGTAGAGCTATTTTAACCCAGAAATGCTATCTGCTCAAAAGTTGGCCTTGTATAATGATGTAAATTTAACCAACTTAAAAAATACTTTCTCTTATCCGTACATAAACTTATTTTTTAAATCTTTTTCTTACTCTTTTTGTAATCTGCACTTGTCTCTTTAAAAAATTTTTGGTCCATTCCAACACAGATATTCTTTAGGGTATGACTACCCATCTTTATCAGCATGATATTTGTAGACAGCAGATGTAGATTTGAAAACCAGCTTCATTGTTTATTAGTCATATCACGTTGGATGGTCACTTAACTTTCCACAGGCTTAGTTTTTGATATAAAATTGGGATTAGTACCAGCCCTACCTAAATCACTGGATTCCTCTGAGGTTAAAATGAGATGGCATATATGAAAGCCATTTGTAATTGGTAATGTGTTGTTGATATTATTTCCCAGAGTATTTAGGACACCAAATGGGCCCACAGTAGATGACTGATAAATACCTACTCAGTTGAATTTAACTGGGAAGATAACACCGTCACCTCAACATTGACAGTTGGATTTTGCAATCTGAAAAAAGCCGAACCTTGACTTAGTAGGATTATCGCTCAGGTGGCAAATGTCCAAACGTTATCAGCCAGTTGATGGGTGCACCAGCAATAATCATTCTGTTTTCAATGCAGTTATCTAGGTAGATCTAACTGCTGGTGTTATTAGGCCACCACTTCATGATGGTGTTTACTGAGCCTGATAGAGCATTCTTTTTTTTTTTTTTTTTTTTTTTTTTTTTTTTATGGAGTCTCACTCTGTCGCCCAGGCTGGAGTGCAATGGCATGATCTCAGCTCACTGCAACCTCCCCTCCTGGGTTCACGCCATTCTTCTGCCTCAGCCTCCTGAGTAGCTGGGTCTACAGGCCCCCACCACCACGCCTGGCTAATTTTTTGTATTTTTAGTAGAGATGAGGTTTCACCGTGTTAGCCAAGATGGTCTCTATCTCCTGACCTCGTGATCTGCCCGCCTCAACCTCCCAAAGTGCTGGGATTACAGGCATGAGCCACCTGCCCAGCCGAGCATTCTTCTTTGTTAGACGTTACCTGGCTTTTTCTGAGTTTAGTCTTGCTCACTAAACATGATTTAATTTGTGAATTGCCAAAGTTGAGAATACTATTGGGGAATCAAATTTCTGTGCTTTCTTATTTATAAGTACTTTCTTCTCAAGTCATTATTTAACACATAAAATTTAAGTTCTGTTTGATTTCATCTTTCGAAGTTTGTTTTTGCTATTTTGTGGGCTTTTTTTAAAAAAAACCCTTAGATGTTTGGTAATATTCTTTACATGAAACCTGTTTCTTTAACAATTATTTAAAATGTGCTTATATTATGGTCTTCAGACGTATTTTAAAAAATGGGCATTTTACCTCATACAAAATTAATCATTCTGAGAACCTTGACAATTAGGAGATCAGCAGTTTTCCTTTACCTGATGCTTGATTTACAGAATTATGGCTAGAAATATTTCTAACCTTTTTTTCCTTCTTGAAAAGTGTATAAGTCTGTGTATCATCTAGCATTATTGTATTAATCCCATTTCTATTTGTCTGCTCTACTACTATTACTCTCTAAAGTGTTTTTGAGCTTGTTTTGTTCTAAACTCAGTTATGATATTGTATCATTTAAAAATTTCCCCCAAATATGTATGACTCTTGTCAGACAGTCAGAAAGTTGACAGTGAAACATTTGATACTGAGAAAATACTGCCAGAAATTTTTGAGCATGATAATGGAATTGTACCTGTCCTTACCTTTTAGACATCTATACTGGACTATTTGCCAATAAAATTCTTTGATATACGGAATTTAGTTCAAAATAATCCAGAAAGATTGTAGGTGGGAAGGAGTATGGAAGATATCGAGATTGACCATTATAATTGTTGAATTTGAGTGATGAGTACATGGGTGCTCATTATACTATTCTGTGTTTGAATATGTTTGAAATTCTTCATAACATTTTTTTAGTTGCTAAAAATCATACTAACAGTGTGACATAAGTCCTCATTTAATGTCATCAGTAGGATTTTAGAAACTGCAACTTTAAGTGAAATAATGTAATGTATAATGAAACCAATTTACCATAGGCTAATTGATCTAAACAAGAGTTAGGTTCCTGCGGCATACAGTACGTCATTTTGCTTGAAGTTGCAGTTTCCAAGAACCTTTAAGTGAGGACTTAAGGTAATCTGTAAACGGTACGTGATTTGGCTCTCTTTTGCTCTTGGAGGGAATCGTCTGGGCTCTGACCCTGCCTGTGTATTTCATTGCCCTGTCATCTGCCTTCCGACCATAAGCTGCCTTGCGGTGCAGCCTGGACCAGCAGGGGCTTGCATTCGTAAGCAACCATGAAGTCTTTGTCTGTCTGTCTTCAAATGGGCAGAACTATACAGGTCCAGTCAAATGAAAATGCTCTACGCATACCCACAAACATCAGCACTCAGGATGGATGAGCCGCTCCCTCTCCCCGCATCACCTTTCAAATAAAAATCAAGTGTCAGTTACTCCAGTCTTAGGTGTGTGCAGATCTGTATTAGAACAACAAATAGAGCTAAGAATGGCAGCTAATTAACCCTCAGCCTTGTATAGTGATTAAGCTGAGGGTGAGCACAGCTGCAGCTTCACTGGTAAGAGCTTTATTCTTCTCAAATGGACTGAGCAAAAGAAAAGAGGAATTTGCTCCCAGTGGCTCTTTTATAGTGATCTATAAAGGCTTGGAGAATGTTTCCTTCCTC